AAGTACGTCGTTTTAAATACAATTTCTTAAAATACGATTATATAAGCAATATTTATGACTGAAACATCACTTGCCATTGATTAAAGCCTTTTAGTAGCGCTTAATGAAACAATTATATATAAATGCTGATAACAGGTACATTGAAATAATCCTTGAAAACAAAATTGACAATAATTATTGAATAAATATTCATTATTATTTCCGACAAATTTTTCTGTAATGNAAGTACGTCGTTTTAAATACAATTTCTTAAAATACGATTATATAAGCAATATTTATGACTGAAACATCACTTGCCATTGATTAAAGCCTTTTAGTAGCGCTTAATGAAACAATTATATATAAATGCTGATAACAGGTACATTGAAATAATCCTTGAAAACAAAATTGACAATAATTATTGAATAAATATTCATTATTATTTCCGACAAATTTTTCTGTAATGTATCTAGGTTAGACACCTTTCATCGGTTATATATTCTTGCAGTATTCCAAGAACAAACAGTTGGAAATATCCGAAGTCACGTTTACTTACTTCTCGCCTCCAACGTTTTGTTACTCTATTTGACCCCTAATTGATTGAGGAGAAAAATGCTGAAAAATGTCACGTGCAGTATTATGTATTTAAGATAATACATTTTATGTTCAACATTAATATACTTTCTCTAAATAACAGTTATAACAAGTTAACTAACAATACTTTCTTATTTTCTACACAATTTACTATCCCACCGTGCTCGAACTTCAGACACATTGAAACACATTTATTACTGCCACTATAATAATGATTTATTCTCAGGTATTTATGCATTTGTATCAACGTATGGTATAATACAGTAGAGACTTCCTTATTTGAACATTTATTTTTACAATATTTTGGTATCCAAACGTTTTATTACCTAATTATTATATTATTTAGATACATTACCACCTAGTAAAGAATTAGAATGAAATTTTTAGTTAATAAAATGTTTTGGTATCAAGATATTACAAAAATTTAGATAAGAGAATCTCTACTCCATATGTATTACATTCTTATTGTAATTTTATATTTCAGTTTAATGAAATCACCCAAATGTCTGTGACTTATTTGATATTGTATAAGAAATCTTTTGTTATACATATCTTTTTTGAAATAGTTTAACAGTTTGTTTTGAGAAGTGTTTTCATATAACAATAAATAAGACAGATAATTAGGTAATCCCATTTAGCTAAGACATTTTGTATTTTACTATATCACACATCATATTAATTTTATAAAATTATTTCTCTGAATTTATTGAATGCTGCATAGTGTCGGCGTCACATTCTCATCTTTGCGAATGTCACGAGCAAAACATAGGAACTTAACGTCAACGCAATCGGTATACCTGAGTTCGATGTATTCGAAGTTCGAGTTTAATTCTATCTAATTTTTTGGACTCTGAAAATACCTAATCTCAATACGTCTGCTGTGCGCCATAAGCAGCGTATATTTCCGCATAATATTCGCCAGTTTGTTATCAGGTAGATGTATCGTCATTATAGAAAAAACATGTCCAAAGACTAAGGCGTCTAATTCGTTTGGTGTCCTAAATGTAATTAAATAATAAAGTTGATCAATCGTGAACTGATTAACTGAACGAATGAATAATAAATAATCAATAGGTATAAATATACATATATATATTTTATGTGTTATAATAAAAATTATAAATGTAGTAACAAACTAACAAATCAATCTTTGGAAAAATCAAAGTTCAAAAGAGTCTTCTGAAAGTGGTGGCAGAGATTCAAGGGATTCAGAATTCCAGAAAGTATCTTTGGATGGGGTACTAATAATTTCAAAGTCTTCAGTGATTTCATTAAAAGCTTCTTCGAAATAATTATCTTCTATTCTCTTTGCATGATTAATAAGCTTGGGAAATCGTTTTATAATTGTAGCAATATTTTGTACACAAGGACTAGAGTGGACTGTAAGTAGAGCATGGATATGACCAAATACCAGTGCATCTACTTCTGTGGGCCTTTTAAATTAAAAAGAATACAAATACTGTAGTTCAAAATAAATATTAGATGAAAGTTAAAAATAATGATCACTTATTATTCTATTTAAAATAAAACTAATGGTACTTAAATACATAATTTATACTTACTTGCCTCCAGAAAAGTATTCTTTATCATCCAATCTCTCAGATAAAGCTTTACAGCAATTTTCAACTTCAGTGCACACTTCCTGTATACTCTTACTATACCAGCTAAGTACATTGAGTTTCTTTATAACTTCATTTCTCTTTTGCCAGTTTAAAAAGTGATTTAAAGGCCATGGGTATACACTTCCATGCCTTTCTTTGGTGACTTTGTTGAACGTGTCTTCGTGAACCCAACAAATGTACAATTCCGCATTCACAAGTACATTATTTACCAGAGACATGTAAGCTCTCATATCTGCCTTAGAAGATGCAGAGAGGTCGTTTGATAAACTTTTACCTTTACTTTCTATGAAGGATACAATTCTATCGAATTCAGATTGTACAAGCGATCCACATTTAATGAATGGTACACGTCCAGTGGGAGACATGTACTCGGCATTGTGTTTTGATATTATTTCAACTGTAAAGTCACACATTTTAAGAAATACTTCTACAGCCAAACAATTTGCATTATCAGGTAATAGCATCTGCTCAACCGTGAATGGTTGATACAAAGGTATCACATCAGGCAATGTCTCCTTAGCTAAACAAAAAGAACGCACGATTTATAAATTTCATAGGCTGTAGAATCGATTTTATTGATATACAATCAACACTTTGACTGTAATAAAATTAAGTGCAAATAATAGAAATAACGCTCATTATTCACGAGCATCTTATTTGAAAACATTCAATTGTTATGAATGGATACATAAAAACAATAGTATTTAAGCGCTATTACTCAATAGATTACTTAATAGATAGGTTAAGTATCACATAAGTCAGAAACGTGATACCAAATATCTATAGAAATCGAATTAAAAATTACCTTCTAATTCCATATTAATAGTATCTTCTAATAGATCACTAGGCATTTTGTTATTATATGATATCTTAACAACGATTAAAAATTTTAGTCTTTTTCTTTAGTCTCCAACTTCGTCAAATGACAGAACAGGCGAGTGTCGGTAGTGTCTGAAACTTTTGCTTTGATTTTTCTGATAATCGACAATAATTTATAAAATTAACATTTCGATACTAAATGATGTTACAATTGAAGATCAATTGTAAATATAAAATCAGCTTTCATTTAACCAAATCAATCATTAATCAATTAACTAAATTAAACACTTTCATAGACGAATACTAAATTCTACTGTATAAGTAGACAACTCTAAAAATTTCTATAATGATATTTCTTATTGTTTATTTAATTCTTACTTTATTCACTTAGGTTTTAGTAAATGCATAAATATATGTGATGCGGTTATGTATGGAATAGCGGATTTAGTTATTTGAATACTGCAGCCATTCCCGCATCGGAAGCGATTCAACACAGTCTGCGCAAAGACTAGTGTGCTGTAAACAGCAGTTTCTTCCTCTTTCAAACACACCAAGATGTCGAAGAGAGGTGAGTCGGTTTTCGTAATCGAAAAGAATCCATAGAAATCCCCTGAAAAATAAATGATCGGTTTGAAATTATTTCTGAAAACTATATAGTAATGTCTAGGACGTGCAACAGCGAGAATAATTTTTCATTAAAATTGATGGAATTGGGAAAAATCGATGTTTATATTGGAAGCAAATGCCGCGTTAGACGTGTTCATCGATATCAACAATTAACGTGAAATTCTTCTTCTTCAAGGACGTGGTGGTTCCGCAGGAGCGAAGTTTAGGATATCACTGGGTTTGCCAGTGGGAGCAGTCATTAATTGTGCTGATAATACTGGTGAGTGTTTTAAAAAATATTACAAAAGTTAGATATAACCTCAAAAACTGACCATGTTATGATTGGGAATAACATGGTTGATTATCATTTACAGTTATAAAACATTGTATATAAGATATCTTCACTAAATTTAGGAAGAAGCTATTTGTTAATAGTTAACCTATTTAATGAGAGTGTTTTGACTAGTTTTCATGAAAAATCTAAACATTAGATAGTGTTTTCAGAAATCAGTAATTACTGGCGTTATTTTTAGTACAGTTAGCTTTCTGTGAATTCATCTAACATGGAAGGAATAAAGTGTATATTAGTTTCATAGATAGGAGTATGTAACATCAATTTTTCTTACAGGTGCAAAAAATTTATATGTCATCGCAGTTCAAGGAATTAAAGGCAGATTAAATCGCCTTCCAGCTGCAGGATCAGGTGATATGATTGTTGCCACGGTGAAGAAAGGAAAGCCTGAACTCAGAAAAAAGGGTAAATTTTTATTTTGGAAGAAAACCATATTATTTATGTTAGCTTTGTATAGTTTATAGCTATAGATTTATACATGTTTCAGTTCTGCCTTAGTGTGATGTGTTACATTTCAAATATTGTAATTAGAAATTATCTTTATTATAGTGATGCCTGCAGTGGTAATAAGGCAACGAAAACCATTTCGGAGGAAGGACGGGGTGTTTATATACTTTGAGGACAACGCAGGTGTTATCGTAAATAATAAAGGTGAAATGAAAGGATCAGCGATTACAGGGCCTGTTGCAAAAGAATGTGCAGATTTATGGCCCAGGATTGCTTCCAATGCTAGCAGTATCGCTTAAAACATACTGTATAAATTTATTGTCCTTAATAAAATATATTTGAGCATTTGCTGAACATTTCTTTTGTATCTCTTCTTTATAGTAATTTATTTTTCTGTTTGTATTAAATTTTGTCAAGTAATCAAGTTCACCTAGCCATATAATATAATTTGATTAAAGATAAGAAATATTAACTTAAAATTTGAAAGCGTAGAAAATAATAGAGATTTTGGAAGGAGCGGGAAATTGTACAACAAAAGCAAGGAACATAATTTAATAATTTCGTGTATACTTAATAGAAAAACAATAACTATGAAGGTATCAAACAAGAAGTATGCGATAGATAATGTACGCAATTTGTTGACTTGACCATGAGATCCTGTTCAATTTCAAGTGCTTCCGATGGTCACGTAGAATATTATTGAAGGAATTGATAAAAAATGAAAAGAAAGGTCGAAAACTGTTTACAAACTAATAGCGATAACCTGTTAAATTTAGCATTTACTTTTACAAGAAAAGGAAAATGGAAAACGAAATTATATTTTAAATATCTGTAAACATTCTTCAATTATACATCAACTATGTTAACAACTCAATTGATATCTACTAAATAATACAATTGCAGTCGTTTATTGTTACTATTCTTTGAAAGAAGAAAATCCGATCTCCATCCTATTTGTATAATCCATTATATGCTAAGAGTAGGATAGGCAGCTATTATGATTATTGGTAAACTTGATCTCGCCCTTCGAAGAATAGATCACAATTATACTAAATATTGCCTCAATTTAAGGAGGTAGCGTTCATAGATCAATACGAAAAGCAAAAAGAATCGGATTGTATTCTTTAACGAAAAGTTTTGATTTTCAGATGCTGGCATATAGCGCACGTGCATGAGAAATCAGCTGTTCCTAATCGTAGCGCCAACTGGTGGATGACGCTTCAGACATCAGGCAAACGAAAGCGAGGTAGATTTTTGTGTTACGATTTTATCAAGTGATTGCCTGTATTTGTTAAACGGCCAGCTACACACAATGCGATTCGTGATTGAACAGAAAATGGTGCTTTTAATTCGCGTGCGTGCTTCTTGCGTTATTGAGTAAAACGGGTCCAGAGATCTTCGAAATAATTGCACTCTCTCTTTCTCTCAGGTGAGGTTAGAATTCTCAAGACAAAAAGCTTCCCTTGAATTCTACATAATCGAAGATAGTTACAAAGGAATAATATCGTTTTAAACAAAGTCATTGTGTTTACTTGCAGAACATTACACATAAACAGGAAGCTACGATGTTTAATTCAGCTTTTTTGAGCATGCCATACTTTTCGAAAATTGTGAAAACATTACTGTACGTTCTTTGATTCATTTCCGGCATAGGTGAAGAGTTGACTGTCTTTCCTTTGTTTCGAGTATGTAGCAAGAGAATGCTCATTATTTTCCAGACTTGTTTAAAAAAAAATCACTAATCGAATAAAAGTCGTATTACATAAATTGTTTATTCTGAACTCATTGTTTGAGTGAGTGAACTTGCTCGAAGTGACCAATTTTCTCATTATTCAATTTTAGGAAGAGGAACAACGGTTTTATCATACATGACTATATCAGACTTGTGAAGGCATCGATCTTTTATTTAATTGGTAAGTACAATTGATAGATCAAAATAATTGTCTGATTTGTTGATAATCGTTGACTACCAAGTCGCGCACTGTAACGTGATTGCATTCTTTTTATCTGCAGTTGTCACAACATTCAAATCTATTTTGCGTTATCCGATCCCATATCCTTTGCATTAACCTCTAAACCTTCGATTGAATAACTTTAGGTCACATTGAGTAATAAGATCGAATTTCAGATAAGGCAAAGTAATTTAATTAAATGTTGTTTTATTAAAACGAATTTATCAGCAATTTATGTTAGTATAAATGTTAGCTGAACGTTAGTTATCACAAATTTTTTGAATGTCTATAATAACGAAACCTTAACTATCTATTTGAAAATCCATAAAAAAAAGTTGATCGTTATTGCGATAGAATCTATGTGTTTGTAAATTGATGCTGAGAGAGAAACATATTAGATCAAGGACTGCGGAATCGGGTCATAAGTAAATTTTGAAAAGCAAAACGCATGTGTGGAAGACGCGGCCTATTGAGAACAGTTGGCGCATAATTTACTGTAATAGATCGATTAACTCTCGAGTTCGTGTACAGAGGAATCGAAGGATCGGATCGGCCGCCTTTCTCGTGTAAACAAAACCGGGGGCAATTGTCTCAGCCAGTAACGGACGAAACTTTCGTTTGTCAAGTTCAAGTAACCGCGAAAGGAAACGTGTGTTAGTGAATTTGCGCGGTAAATGCATCTCGGTCACGTTGTCATTTGTCCAACATGAACTCATGGCTACCGGACCCAAGGATGTGGTTAACGTTCGATTCGGACTCGAATTGGGTAAATAATATGTGAAAACAATTACAACACCATCAACGATCATGACGGTCGTTCGAATTATTTCCGCGCGTCGTTATCGATCGTTGTTTTATACAATTTCATTGATTATATAATACATGTTTTCGAAGATTTTCAGTTGTTTATGAACCGATTAGCAATTCTAAAAGCAAGTTTCGTCAGATCAAACACCGATACATTAGTTCGTGAATAAATATCGACGACTTAACCTCAACAGGCTAACGCACTATTAAACAGATTTGAAAAATGGCGCCGTGCGTATATTTGAATTCTTTTTTAGTTATTAGTCATTTCATTTACAAAAGCATTCCATATGTTGTTTTTGTGAATTTTATAGTATCGTAAGCCGTTAATAAACGGGCACGTGTTGCGGACGGAGTGAGTATTCTAATTTCGCGATCGTTCGATTCAGAAAATCGTGACTTGGCACCGGATTCCGTAGTACGAATACCGAGCTCGATTCATCCGTTGTTATCTAGAAAGGCGGGCTGCCCTACTTATTTATATTTATGTATTGGAGACCGCGACCAAACGGGACACGATACGATTTGTCGCGAACGTGGCCGAGTTTCGCGGCCGGGAATTCAGCACGACCACGTAATTTCGTTATTTTCATTCAATTCCGCCGTTTACTGTTTCAACGTCACTTGGACGCCGCTAGATCTAATTACGAATCCATTGAACACGTTCGCAAACTTATTTGCAAAGTGTTACCCCCCCCCGCCCCTCCCTTATTTAATACTACTCTGGAAGCATTTAAATTGTTGCTTACTAGAATCTCACGTGCTTTCCTATTAATGTATAAACATCCGTCGCAGGTTTCTTGATTAATCCGAAAATTGAGTTCAACGCCATTTGATTTTCCACAGATTTTGGAAAATTGCCAAAGGGATCAAGATAATTTGGAAATACACAATCGCGGCGGATTAGTTATGCCATGTCCGTGTGCTTATGTTATCCGCGCGGATAAACTATTAATCGGTCGATAAAGCTACGGTTATTTGTAACAGAAGAAAAAAAAGAACGGTATTTAAAATTTTCTCATCGATCGATCCGTCAGGTTCGCAGATAACCGATACTACGAAACCTTGCTTGAAGTATCTGCGGTTCCCCCCGGATCGATAAAGCACGAAATCGAGCAAAAACG